CGTGGCTGAGTGGGGATTAGATTAGAGGCAGGGAGATCAGTGAGACTCTATCAATATCTATGTGAGAGAGACAAGAATCTGAATTAAGGCAGTAGAAGTAGAAAGGACACTGAAGATGAAAACATTTAAAATATTTGAGATAGACAGTTACTAATTGAATATCAGAAGTCTGGGATGACTGCTGGGTTTATCACCTGGTTGGGGGGACATCAAGGCCATTAACTCTAATAAGAAAAGGGACAGGAGGAGCTGTACCTTAAGGAGTCGAACGTATGAATCATAGGACTCTGGAAATCAGGGGAGGGGGCTCAGAGTAGGAGACCTGAGAATCATCAGCATTGGAGTCTGTGCAATCCGCCAGAAAGGAAAGAGAGAGAGGAGGAAGGCCGAGAGTGGAACCCTATGTAAGTGGCAAGCATGTGGGGGGATTCGGGGAAGGAAACTGGAAAGGACTGGTCAGAGAAGTAGGAGAAAGGAGCGTAAGATAGGGAAGCCAAGGCAAGAAAGAGCTTGAGAACGTGGGCATGGTTTTGCTGCCAAAATGTTAAGTGGGAAGAAGCCTAGCAAGCGCTCCTTAGCTTTGCCGGAGGGTCACTGGAGACCTTGGCCCTTACGGTTTTGTGACATGACAAAGGCAGAAGCCTACTACAGTGAGTTGAGTGAACAGGAGGTGAAGACAGGGAGCTGAAGGATTAAAAGGCAACTGTGGCAGAGCTTGGTTGCTAAGGGAGATGATGATAGCTATCGCTCGAGGAACATGCAGGACCGAAGAGACCCACATACTGTGTAGCTGGAGGAGTGACAGGTGGGAGGATGACAATGGAGAGTGACTGGTCAAAATCACAGGCAAAAGAACGCAAAATTGATGGCTCCCGAGGAAACAGAGGGAGTGGGAGTGGGAGCCTGCACGTGGGGGAGCAGGCTTCCTCCCAGACCCAAGCGAGACGCGTCAGGACAGGCGCAGAGTGGTTAGCGTCTGGTCGTTACTGCTTTGCCTCAAAAGTAAGAGAGAAAGGGGCTCGCTGCGGCAGCACGTATACTAACATTGGAACGACGCAGAGAAGATTACCGTGGCCCCCGCACAAAGATGACACGCAAATTCGTGAAGCGTTCCGTATTTTTAAAGAGGTACAAATGAGTAGTTGACGAACGGTCATGGGGATGGGGAGCACAGCGCAGGGAATGCAGTCAGCATTCATGTAGAGGCTAGGTGGAGAACCGCATGAGAGAAGGAGCAATTAGGGGGATCGTTTTATAAACTGTATAAACGTCTAACCAATGTACTGTATACTTGAAACTAATGAGTGGAAAAAAGGGGGCGGGGAGGAAAAGAGAAGGGCATCTGCTGAGAGTTAGGACGAGGGAACAGAGGCACTGGACAGCTTGAGGAGAGCGACGAAGAGCTGACCAGCCACGGTGGGGAGTTGAAAGGCAGCTGATGAAGAATGGGAGGCTGTTATGGCCCTGAAGTCCAGCTAACAGACGGCTTTCGAGTGGCACCAGGATGCATGTCTGTGGGGGCCAGTCCCAGCCCACTCAGCAGCTCAGGGGGAAAAGGAGGGTCATTAATCATCCATCCGTGGTGGGTGCTTGCACGCCTGTACCGGGCCCTGAATTCCTCCCTTCCCACTTGCGCTTCAGTTATTTTGAACTCTGTCTTTCTCCCAATGGGCCACGCTCGCCTTTGCCTTTGGGATTTTGCACATGTTTTCCCTGCCTTCAGCACCCTTGTTGGCCCTTTTTTGCCCACTAGAACTGACATAAAACGGGTTCCTTGCTTATAGTCAAAGCACCCTGCCTACCTCTCTTGTAATATTTATCAGATTCCCGAAATTGCGTATGTACTTGTCTGGCTTGCGCTTCGCCTGCCATAAAGATTTTCATTCCAAATGAATGATGAACGTGACACAATCTCTGCCACAGCACAGTACTTGGCTGTGAACTTGATTCACGTTTGGGTGCATATGTGGTAGTTGCAGTCAGGGGACATGGAATCAGAGACTTGAGGTAGAGAGACACTGAACTTACTCATGGGATACCCGGGAGGGAAAGAAGTAAGGTCAGGAGGAGACAGACTCTGAGAAAGGGAAGGACGAACGGACCGGAGATTCTCTTGTGGTCAGAACACGAGTCCAGTAAGCACCGGAAAGGCTAAAGCACAGGCAGTGTGGGATCAGGGGGGTCACGGAATGCCAGGCTCCCGGGTGCCTAGGCTGGAGCAGTTTGGCATGATGACCAGGTCCAGAGCATGGCCGTGGGCGTGAGCGGCAGAGGTTGAGTGGAGATCAGTTCTATGGTACGTAGGGTTGAGAAAGAAAAGAAACGTGTGCATGTGCTTGGGGTAGTAGCTGTGATGAATGGCCATCCTCGGGGATTCCGAAGCCACCTAAGATGAAGATAGGGCTTAAAAGGTCTGAAAATGACCAAAGACAGAAGGGAAAGGCCTGACACTGACAGATGGCAGGGACCTGAAAGGATGCTTGGGGGGGTTTCGGGGAGAGTCTTGCGTTGGGGTCTGGGAAAATGCTGACAGTGTGGCTGGTCTCTGTGTCAATGGCCACGATGAAAAACACATCCACCTACTACGAGGGGTGCAATATCATCTCATATCCAGGAAATGGAGGGGGCGGCTCAGGCAAATGTCAGAGATTTCGGTGGAAGGTTTTGGAGGGAAGGTAGCATCCGCACCTCTGTTCCTTCCTAGGCCTTATATAAGAAGTTGGAACTTTATTTAGAAAAGTAAATATCTTTCTCCTATTTTGTGAACAAGTTGATGGGTACGGATGAATGAAACGTTAAGATGCAGAATTTCCAACTTCATCAATTAATAGTAACGACTGTCATTTATTGGGGACACTTGCTATATTCTAGACACTGTTAACTTTATATACACTTTTTTCCCCATTCTCCCCAAACATTAAGAGAAGATAATAATATTTCTTATTCATAGATGAAGACTGTAAACTCAGAGAAAACTTTATCTGCCCAAAGTCATATATCCAAGATGGCGGATCTTGGGTTCAAACCAAGCCTGCCCAGCTCCAAAGTCTGTGTGTGATATTTGCTTCCCTGGGCCAGTGGAAATTTGGGGAGAAAGAAAATCTTTACGGTAGCATAAGCCTACGTACTTATGTTCTTGGTACCAGCAGCCTGAGCAGCGTTTGTAGTTCCTGAATTAATATAGAAGACCTGGAAAAGGCGTCTTGCTGTCGCAGCCCACACGCTAGTCATGGTTAGGTGTACAGGTTGACTGTTATCACTGCACTTTGTGTCCTCATGCTATTGTTGGTTTGAATGTGTTGGTTATTATGGAGTCAAAGGCAGCACAAGCCCAGCGCTGAGCCACCTGTCATCTCTTCTCTCTGTCATCACTGCGGAAAGGGCGTGTTGGGCCACCACTGGTCCCTGCGTAGCTATAGACCAAGGGCCTATCTCCTTACAGAAATGATTATTACCCTTTTAATAAATGTTACCAATTATGTAAATCCAGCAAAATTAGCTAATAGAAAACAAACTGAGGACCTGTTTTCTCCAGCAAGAATACCAGATTTGCAGAAGTTATTGCCTCGGTTTGATGTAACTATCCTATGGGCTGTGGACAAGCAATCAAGTGTAGTGGTTAAAATTGCTCTGGGGTTGGAAAGATTTGGGTTTGTATTCTGGCTCTATTGCCTACTGGCTGTGTGGTTTCCAGCAAGTTAAGCTCCATAAGCCTTAGTTTCTTCATCTGTAAAATAGAGTTAAGAGTACCTACCTAAGGTTGTGAGAAGATTAAATGAGTTGATCCACTGAGAACGCAGCACAGTGCCTAGAAAGGCGACACACTCAGTCAGCGTAATGATCAGCACTAATATTGATGAGCTTGCTGCTGTGTTCGTGGGTTCGTTCCACTTTGAACACCTAATACAGGTGACCACCTGAAAATTTAGTAGCAATAGAAACACTGCTTCGGTGGCTTTATCTTCAATCATACGTAATATGTTTGCGTCTTGAACACAATTTTCCTTGGGGCTGGTAAGTTTTGGAGCGCTCAGCTCCTGGGTACGTACTATACGAAGTAAGTGCTGGACGTGACGCGGTCGATCGTTTGTTTTGTAACGGTAGCAGTCAGCATTCATGTAGAGGCTAGGTGGAGAACCAGATGAGAGAAGGAGCACTCAGCTCCTGGGTACGTACTATACGAAATAAGTGCTAGACGTGACGAGGTCGATCGTTTGTTTTGTAATGGTCGTCTCCTCTTTGTCCATCTCTCTGATATTTTTTTGCAGGAGGAATTCGATGGGGTGCTGCGAGAGGAGGCCGTGGCTGAGGCGCTCTACCATCTGGGGCGCTCAGGTTCTGGGACTGAACAGGTCTACCTCAATCTGACTTTATCGGTGAGTGTGATGACATCGCCTTTGGCTGGCTCCGTCTTGACACCAGTTGGACCATAACCGTTTTCTCTGGTACTCGTAGCTTTTGTGGTGGCTCCAGATTTCAGTCTTGTATTTGAGGGAGTCTGGCGATGAGAGTTATTTATGTAAATGTTAGACATCAAAGAGCCCTGGCCAACCCAATAATGAGCTCCTCAGATTCCTTTGTTTTCATTCCCTTCACAGTCTGTTTCTTTCATCTTGAGTAGTCTATATTATAGTAATCAATGCCTCTTTCCAGAAGGTCGAATTTGATTTCGTAAAACCAATCAAAGACTAAGATTTTCTCTCTGATTAGTGACAGGACTAAAATTTATATCTGAATCCAAGGGAACAAAGGATTTTGGTATTGACTCCCCTCCTGCCCCCGACCCCAGTATGTCAAGAAATAAGTAGCTTTGAGCTTTCTCTCACTTTCGAAAAGATACCTATAATTAATGGGGAAAAAAGTATTGTTATTCATAGTGTAGCACAGAATTTTGGCTCCACTTTTATCATGAGAGGCTTGTAAGAACCGGATACTCAGAGTACTTCAGCTTCTTTCCCATTTTGTTTTCTATAGTCCTTGAAAAACAATTTAACTCCTTTTGCTTCCTTACATTGTAAAGCATGAAATATTCCTTGGAGATCCACAGAGTAAATGCAGATATTTAGGCGGAAAAAAGCACACTAAACTTTTGCTTGGCCCAAGTGTATAAAATCATAGCAAGGCTGTTCTGTCTTGGATTTGAACTAGGAAACTATTGGGGAACTGTTAAGCTCTTTTCACCCATGCTGCATGGCATGTCCTTTGAGGACAGCACATTAAAGCCCTAACCTTTTACTATTTTCACTTCGTAACATTTTGTAAATGGCTCAGCCGGCCCTGAAGTATAACACAGGGAGCACCCTGTGTGAATCTCACTGTGTTAGGCATTGGACTGGTGGATAATTCCACAGCCAGTACATCTCCACGCAAGTCCCTTTCAATCGATAGTCTACTTAGGTACATAGCGCTATGGCTTAAATTGATCTACCAAAAAAAAAAAAAAAGAGCAATTCTTTAAATCTTGTTTCAGCTGGATGGACTGAAGCTTAACTTACTTTGCCACTGACCTCCTTACATCTGAGCTATTACACGTGGAATTACTTTGCCTTCATAACCTGTCTTACTGAATACACTTTCTTAGTGTTGCCTGGTTTAGTGATTTTTTTCCCCCCTTATGTGTTAGTTATGTTATACGAGTTCTTTTGTTTGTTTTTTACTTTCTCTAATTACTTGTATAAACTTCAGTACGTATCTTCTCTCGTACTGAAGTCTTAAGTTTCTTAAAGGCACGATACAGTTCTTCACTATTGTATTTTTCATCATGCCAATCACAATGCCTTGTACATAGTGGGTTTTCATAGTATTTATTACTGTTTTAATGGCCTTCATTAAACACTCCTATCATTATTCTATTTGAGAACCTGCTTATTATAATGGCATGTCACCGGTTAGCTTTTTCCAACTCTGACGTCACAAAGTAAAGCAGGGATAGGAGTCTTTGTTCCGAGGGACCAGATTCCCCTCCAGCCCCACTTGAAGTTCATTTGAAGCAAAATGTCATGGAAAGAATCTTGGACAAGGATTCAAGAGACTTGGTTCTGCTTCCCTGTCCCTAATTTGCTCTGTGATCTTAGGTAATGGACATACCTCTCTGTACCTCATATTTCTCATTTCTTATCTGTTTGATCAGATAAGATTGTCGTGGGAGAGATTTGAAAATAAACCCTGGGGAAGTGTAGGCAGTGGTGGTGCTGATGATCCGATTAGATGTGAACGCTCTTTAACGTCTCATTTAAATCCTAAGCAGTCACCTTTTTTTTTCTTCTACCTGGCAAAGGCTTTGGGTTTATTACTATTACACATTTTTTAAAAATATAAAACTCTGTTCTGAAGGTCTTCATGACACTGCTTTCATTTGCCTTTTTAGTAGTATTTGTTCTTGCTAACAACACTAATTTTCTAAGCTATTATTCAGAGGACTGCATTTTTTAAATGGGGCATGTAGTCTGTTTTGAGATCCTATTAGTGGGCTTCAGATTTTGTCCTCTCACATCTCTATTTTTGAAAGAAAGTCGGGATTTCTTTTGTCACCTGTTATTTCCAGATGGTGTGAGAAGGCTGAGTACTACTAACCTGTTAAAGCAACATTAAAGTCTTTCACCTTTTATTTTCTCAGGGTTGTGATTTAACTGACATTAGCATTCTCAATGGATATGTTCACTTACAGAAGTTGGATCTTTCATCAAATAAAATTGAAGGTATGTAACTGTCATTCTAGTAAATTGATAGAGCACCGAATCATTTCAAAATTTAAGCTTTGCAGTATGTAATGTAGTTTAATACCACAAAACTTGATATAAGTGCTGTTGTGGACAATTTACATCTCGATCCTCCACCTCCATGTAGAAAAGGCACCAATGACTGATGACTATAGGAAAAGTCAAGGTCAGCAAACGCACAACATTATGCTGTGGTTCAGAGGCACTCAGTGATACCAAAGAATATCAGATGGAATGTTTGCTTTTTTCCTGTTAAGAGATGGGTCATTACTTCTTTAATACTTCTTGAATATTTGATGATTCCCTTTGCTTTCCCTTTATTAGTTTATTCAGTGTAGATGAATTCGTTTTCATTTTTTCCCTTTAATGGACTCTTTATTTTGCATTGCATCAACATTTTAATCCTGGCCAGCTACTTGTGTTCTTATTCGAGCATCAGTGACTCACAAATTAATTTTTTTCTTTACTTTTACTGTTGCTGTATATTTAGTGGATTCTTTAAACCTAACTTTGCTATTCATAGGTCTTTATAATCTATTTGCTGTGACACCTTGCTCACATTTAATGAAATTAGTTTCATTTTCTTCAAAGCTTGATCTTTGTTTCTAATTTTCTGATCTTATTTGAAGTTAAAGTATATAGTTTCTTTTCTTTAGACTTCTAGGAAAGGGAGCAAATTCTTATTTCTGCCCTGCTTTCTTCGCTGACGATCAAATCTTTCACTCCCTTCTTTAGTCTGTCTTTTTTATGACAATTAAATGTTGCTGATACCGTCTTCTCTGGCTTATTTTTTTTATCCCTCTCATATGACTGCAGTAATTAAAATCCACTTTCATTTCAGTGGCTCAGAAATATTCTCGTATATTTTAATTCTTAAAATGCTATTGTTTTGAAAGACTTTATTTTTTAGTTTTATAAGTCTTTATTATGGAAAATTACAAACGTGTGTACAAGTATAGAAACTACTGTTATGAATATTCAGGTTCAATAATTATCAGCCCATTGCCTATCTTGCTTCATCTCTACCTCTCTGCCCCCATTCCCAGGATTATTTGAAAGCCAATCCCAGATGTCATATTATCGTAAAGACGTTTTTAGTGTTACCAGAAGGAGCTCTCCCCACACCTCCAAAGTTGGTTTCATTTACTGGATAAGGAATTGCAGAATGGTGGGAGGCTTCAACAATGCTAGTGCTAGTGAAGAGGAAAGAGATGTGGCTTCATACTTGTCACTTGAGCAAGGAGTCCACAGTTGCAAATGAAGCTTTCTTCTTCACATCAGTCTTCTTTAATCTTTTGTGGCTCATTTTATTAACTCATCAAATATTTGAGAACCTACTGTGTATAAGATACAGTATATTTTTCTTTTGGTGAAGACAGTTTTATTGATCTGATGTAGACCAGATCTCAACTTGCATCAGAATCACCTGGGTGTGTGTGTGTTAGGAAGGGGTTGCGGGGGTGGCGGGGGGCAGTCTGGTAAAACATAGATGACTACGCCCCTCCTTCAGAGTTTCCCATTCAGCAGATCTGGGGTGAGAACTGAGAATTTGAATTTCTGGTTAGTTCCTGGTTGAAGGTGATGCAGCTGGTCCAGGACAGAGTTTGGGAACCGGGCATGTAGATGTGAGGTGCTCCTGCCATCTGGTGGGCACAGAGGTCACTACACCAATTAGGGAATTAAAGGGCCTGCCTGTGTTGGAAGCCCGGCAACACAGACCATGGGTTTTTTCTGTTAGTGATTTGAGCATTGTCCATCTACAAGCTACGAAATGTACTTGCCATCTCTTTATCTCCATGTAAGATCAGCTCCAAGGGGGCACAGGGGCAATGGAGATTAAGAGTTGGGACCACTATTGACAGACACGGGGCTGAGCTCGAAATGGACAAATAGGCAAAACTTGTAAAGCAATGACAGTTTCTCCTTAAGTTTCCCCTCATAGTCAGCCCTCTTCTATTCGCTCTTTAATACCCACCAAAGCGTTGATGTTTCAATGTATTGTCCTTTCTAGAACAATTTCATTAAAAAAGACAGGCCCGAGAAGGTTGCGGTTTAGACCAGGGAAGAGAAGTAGAAACTGGTGAAGACCTTCTGGTTTCAGTGACTGTAACGGCTAGTTGTGTGAGCCGGACTGAGAGGAGAAGATGTTGTTATCATTACCGTTTTCGGATGGGGGAACAAATTCTTGGTACAGACAGAGTAGCAAATCCTCATCAGTGATTCCCCGAGTCTATTTCCCATTCATCCTCCTGTCCTGAAATGCTCCTGCTGTGAAGTGTTGGCCAAGGACAGTATAATGCTTTGCTAATTTTATGTTTTATGTATAATTTCATTAGGAGTGAGTGTTAGCACTATAGTCCTTAATTAGTATTCAAGATTCAGAATATTTGCTTGGGATAAAATGTAAAACTCAGGCAGACATTTGAGCCAATCCAGAGTCGAAGTAAAATGATAGCAATAATTTAAATCGCTTCAAATAATTAACGAGATTTAGGATTAAGTCCAACTAAAACAAAGTTAAATTAAATTTATAACAAAGAAAGTTCTCTAATTGTGGGCTTTCTGAAAAGACCCAGTTCAGTTATTTAGGAGCTAATTATCAAGAGGATTATCTGAAGCTAGTTTGTCGTCTTTTCCTCCAAGGCTGATAATGTTTGAAGCATTTGACAGTTAACACCTTGTGGGAAAGTGAGCTGGGACACCCCGGAGGCCCCAGGCCCCAGGCCCCGTTATTTGTCCTTTGGCTTTCCCGGAAAGGGGATGGAAGGAGTAAGGAGGCCCTGGGGAAGAATGTTCAATTATTGGCTCATGGAGAGTTTTCCACACTGTGTGTGTGTGTGTGTGTGTGTGTGTGTGTGTGTGTGTGTGTGTGTGTTTCACACACTATTCACTTCACTCATCTGGAATAATGAAGATGTGCTTGCATCCAGCATAATTTTTAAATGTTCTGATATAATGTAGCTGTTTTTTATGACTTTGTCTAATTTTTATTTTATCGGCTTACCTTATTCTGTATTTATTTCCTCCCACAGATTTGTCTTGTGTGAGTTATATGCCTTATCTTCTGGAACTTAATGCTTCTCAAAATAAACTGACTACATTCTTCAATTTCACGCCACCCAAAAATCTCAAGGTAGATCAATACATCGATTATGTATGTTAACTTGTTTGCAAAGTACATTAGTAAACAAAACGGCACTAAAATAGAAAATTCAGAGAGAATAAGATGTAGGTTTAAATAGTGTAAGTGTCTGAAATGAAATAAAAAGAGAGAAAATGGAGATGGTCTGTCAATAGTTAATCTTTTTACGAAGCTTTGCTAAAACCTAGTGTTCAAGCCAAAGAACTAAGTCCTTTCTGTTCTCTCTCCCTCATTTAAATACTAATTATTATTTGCATGTTTTTATTATAGCAGAATTAAACTCTGAACCAGGTTTGGGGGAGCAGCTTGCTCTGCTGTAGAGCGCTGTGTCTTGTGCTTCAGTGTGCCCACAGAGCACCTGGGGTTCTTGTGGAAATGACACGAACTCAGGAGGTCTGGGGTCAGGCCTGGGACTGTTATTTCGAACAACATTCATGGACCACAGTTAGGCAGAGAGGTCAGGGAGTAGTCGTTCCCAAACTTTTCTGCATGCTGCAGTCACCTGGGGAGTTTTAAAAACCACTGATGCCTGGATCTCACTGCCAGAGATTCCGATTCAAGTGGTCCAAAGTAATGATGGGGCTTTGGAATTTTGTAAAGAACATCAGAGCAGCTCTGATGTGCTGACACATTTGGGAAATGAAACAGTGCCACAGACTTTGGGGTTAGTGTTCTCCTGCTGGACTCAAATATGTATTTTAAAAGTTTCTTTTTTTTAGGAATGGACATCAACTATTGCCTTTTATTAGCTACTAGTTTTATTTCATTTACAAACCAAATTAACTTAGATCCAAAGTATCCTGCCGGTGTCCGCGCAGATGTGGCTTTGCGATCGGGCGGCGTGGACCCGGCCAGTGCGGCGCCCTTCGTAATTCTTCCGTAGCTTCACATCACTCCTTTTTGTTATCAACAGTGGGGTTTTTTTTTTTTTCCCCCCTCTTTGAAATTATAGTTATTGCTAGGGTGACATTCCTTTGTCCAAAGAAGCCGGACGAGGTGCCTGCTTTGACCCCGCGTGGGGCCGCACGGTCTCCAGGTTGTCAGGAATTGCACTTGCGGGGCTGTTTTCATTCTCCCCGCTTTGCTTTCGCATTCTGCTCTGCCCCAGCCCCAGGGGAATCAGTCCGGGCAACAGCTGACCTCTTCCCTGGGAAAAACTTCCTTGGAGTGCCTTCCATTCATACCCATTCCTCACCCTCTCGTAAAAAGATGCCACGAATGAATAAAAACATATCAGATACCCCATATTTTTTTTAAGAGGAGTTTTAGGTTCACAGCAAAATTGAGAAGAAGGCATAGATTCCCCACGTTCCTCCTGCCCTCACTCAGGCACAGCCCCCCGCCCCCCATCAGCATCCCTCACCGGAGCGGCGTGTTTGTTACAGCTGATGAACCCACATGGACACATCATCGTCACCCAAAGTCGTAGTTTACGTTAGCGTTTCTCTTGGTGTTGCACATACTAGGGGTTTGGACAAATGCATACCGACATGTGGATGGATTCATATCCATCATACGGCAGATAACCCATCTTTAAGTTTCCTGGGGAATTAAGAGCAGCTATACCAATGATTTAGAGAACTGCTCCTATATATCAGACCACCCAGTGAGGGGCTGGGAGAAACCCGTGTGAGCCTGGAGGCGGGACGAGGGGCGGGGAACAACTGAGGCCACCTGGTGTTTCCAGTGGAGTGTCTTATTTAATCCTCCCAACAAAGCCGTGAGGCCACTGGAATTGTCTCAGTTTACAGATGAGGACGCTGAAGTACGGGAAGGTTGGGTACCTAATCTTTACTGGGAGGTCCAGGGCTGGGATTGAACCTGATGGCTGAGACCCAAAGCCCATACCTTCCCAGTGAACCAGGCTTGTATACAACGTCCCACCCTCTGGGGAAGCTCTGCTTCCTTTTTATTGTCTGTAAAGCTCGTGCCACAAGCCAGAGCCAGCTTACTTGTCCTGAGGAGCAGGAGCTTGGAATTCCACTCGTTTTGGCATTTCCTAGAATGCTTTCGCTCTTGGCGAAGAAGGTTCGTTTGATTTGATGGGATCTTCCACCCAGTTCTGGTGTCCAGTGCAGCTCCCAGTGGGAGTCAGAGCAACGTCATAACCCTTTTAAGGTCTCTCGACACACCTAGAGTCGTAGGTGCCTGGAGGACACAGTACTGGCACATAGCCCTGAAACGGGGCGTAGTTGGACAGACAGCACGAGGAGATACGGGCTACGGCAGAAGAATGAAAGGCGTTGATGAAAAAGTGCCAAGTACAAGGGAGCTCAGATAGTTATGTTTATTTCTAGTCTATCATCACTATGTAGAAGAAAAAAGGGAACACGAAACGCCATTTGCATTCATGACAACTGACTTCTTATTTTCAGTCATAATATGCATTTTACAAGTTGCAGTTTGTATTTGCATAAAGTTTTGTGCCCTGAGTTTTTTTTTTTACTTAACACGTTTGCACATTTCTATTCCCATGGTCCCTTTCACTGACTTCGTACGTAGTCTTGTTGCTGTATTGTAATCTCCTTAACCTATTTTCTCCTCTTACCACTTGAGTCGTTTTTAATTTTTCTTCTTTTTAGAATTCAGTATTTAAAGTTTTTAGTGTTTAAAGTATTTAGTATTTAATGCACTGCTAAAATAATGTTAATGCATTTGGGGGATGGAATCCCTGTTTAAAAGGGTACAAGAAGATAAGAATAGTGCTTATTATAGAATTGCTTGACTGTTTTGCAGAAAAATGACTATAATGTGCCCAGCACATTCTCAATGCAGTGTTTCTAAAAAGTTGAGATTTTCGTTGCTTTTTTAAAAAAAATCACTATTTAGTCTTTGCCAGTAGGTGAATAATTAAATGAAATTATTTAATGTTGTATTTCTTTAGTCTCATATTTTTGACTACGAACAACTGATGTTGCTGAAAATGTTTTTCTAAAATAGTTCATGCCGAAAACGGGTGTTAAGTTGAAGAGGTATAGCCTGAGGAATGAGTAAGAAAGATTTTTCTGGCGTTTAGGGGGCGACATGGGAGAATATATCGACATAGAAATAGAAAGGCAAAGAGAAACAAGATATGCATGTAAACTAAGTGAAGACAGCTTAATGGGCATTAGAGAATCTTGAAGAAATAGTGGTAAGTGAGGGCGAAATTGAGGTAAATCCCGAAGAAGATCAAGAAAGTTTAAAATAAATGCTGAAACGGAGAGAGCAGCTGCCGGAATTGGGTGTTCAGGTCGTGGGGATGGATGTCTGCTCTGGCCATGAAGAAGGGGTCTCCATCGCAGGAGCTCTCAAAGTGGACAGACAGCATCCCGGTTAGAAAATGATGCATTATGGGGAAATATTTTACCTTTAGCCTGTTTTCAATAACGAATTCTAACTCTATACCCAGAAACACATTCTTCGTGTGCGTTTAATTATCGTGGTTAAGATGAATGAAAAATAAAGTATGACATATTGTTCTCTTTTTCTCCTCAGAAGGTGGATTTTTCCTGCAACCAAATTTCTGAAATGTGTGATTTGTCAGCATACCAGTCTCTCACTAAACTAATTCTGGACAGTATCCTTTGAATGGGTAAAGGGGAAATTCTGGTTAGTAGACCCATTAATAAGTACGTACCAGATGACATGGAATGGTACCAGATAAGCAGTTTATCAGAGATGGGTTACTCATTTAAATGATTAAGAATTGATAGTCACAAAATGAGGGAAGATGTTTTTATTTACCAAGGAAAAAGACTGCAAGTCAAAGCTGACACCTGAAAAGCTAAGTAAGATAGTCATTCTGATAAATGTAGGCTTATTTTTAATTCTAGAACCAGACAAGTTCTGTTTTAACTGACTACCTGCTTCAGATTTACCTAAGCTTGCATTCTATTTTATATAAATTCAGTGTCTGAAAATCCAGATGTACTCATAAAGAAAATTAGTGATTTTTTATTTTACAAAAGAATTCACACTAAGGTTCTCTAGTGTATTTAAACTATACTTTCATTAAAAAATAATAATGATTTGCAACCAACTTCAGGAACAGATGCATTGCATGACTCAGGCTCCCATGCAAACGGCACCTACTCTGAAGTAGGCATGCCCCAGCTTCTGGAGCCGAAGGGGTTAATCGGGGATCTGTGAGTTTAATGAGCTTGAGTCTCTTTACACCAGGGACTAGTGTTCTCTGGGTGATAAGGGAGCCAGCCGTGCCTTCTAGTTCTCAGTAAGTATCTTTCCACCCACCTGAGGATTTTCGAGGCAGGGCGGGTACCTCGTTCCAGGGATGGGACAGCAGCCAGCACACACTACGCTTGTAATAAGGCTGAGATGTGGGGAGAACGGAGGGTACATTTTCTTGTTTTCTTTTTCTTTTTTAATTACAGTTGACATTCAGTGTTGTTTTATATTACTTTCAGGTAGAAGGTACATTTTCTTGAAGACATACAGTAGGAAAAAAACTTTTACTCAAATATGATGGAGAGCTTAGAACATAGGCTATATATACCCTTTAGAACTTGTCTGTGAAAATGAGCAATTAGTGGACAAAATTTAAGAAATCTAAAAATACCAAGGGTTGGAACATATAGATCAAGAGGATCTCTTTTTATCTTGCTTATGGGTATGAAATTAGTTCAACCGCTTTGGCAAACAGTTTTATCCTATCTTGTAAAGTTAAACGTCTAAATTCCCTATGTCCTAGCATTTTCATCCCTACATATGGAAAGTTTAGCATACGTGCACCTGGAGGCTTGTATAAGAGTTAAGAATGCTCATAGCAGCATTGCTTAAATTGCTGCAAAAAAATTGAAACTGCCCAAATGCTCAATGATAGAGAAAGCATAAATTATGGTACACTCACACAATAGCATATCATACAGTAGTGAAAATGAGTGCATATATTTCCATGCAGTAGTCAGGAGGGATCTTACTAAAGTAATATCACTTAGGTATAAAACCGATGGGGAAAGGGAAGAGGAAATAGACAATTCAGCATGGTGGTTATCTCTGAGAGGGCGACACCATGATGCCACAGGAGAGATGTGCAGAGATAGATATAAGTTAATGTTCTCCTTGGGTTGGGGGTGGTGGCGATGGTGGCAGCGTCAAGACTCTTCATTACATTTTTAAAAGTAAACAGCAGGCCATGTGTGGGCAAATGATTTACCTGTGTCCATTAAAACATTTAAAAGCCTGAAAATTAGAAATTAACTTCTGCGGAAACAATTATTTACCAAACTGTGGCTATGTCAGAATCCCCCGGAGGACTTATTAGACACCTGTGGCTGGCCCTGTCCTCAGAGCATGCGAGGACGTGGGTCTGGGGTGGTACCGGAGATGCTGCATTTCTCACGAGTTCCCAGTTAATGCTGATGTTGCTGGAGTGAGGACCGTGCTTTGAGATCCTCAGCTCTAAGCTACTCAGCCCTCTGGCATGCTTGCCTTATCTGGTGTCACCCATTTGTCCTTTGTTGAATACTTCAAAAATTTGACTGTTATCTTTTTTAAACTTTTTATATTTGTTCAGGCTTTCCTTAGTGGGCTTATGTGACTTTTCTACTTGAGGGAAAAAAAAAAGTGTCTTTTTCTTTAAAACAAAGTTAAATAAAAGCAGGGCATTATATTAATGCTTCAGAGTGAATTAAATAAATCAGCTTTGTAGTTTATTATGCTATTTTGTCCTTCCATATGTGGATAACTGGTGATTAATTAATAATCATCCTAAATTGCAAGATGATAAACTTTGCCAAGGGTATATAAATGTATTTATTCTTGAGAAAGAATGCAGTTTATTTCTGCCTATAAATGCTAACTAGTTGTTCACTGGGATTTATTTTATGATTATAGACTCACGGAATTATAAAAAGTGATTCACAGACTTTTTAAATCCGGACAGGACTTTAGAGATCATCTAGTGCTAACCGTTATTTTATGGAAGAGGAGCTCGAGACCCAGGGAGATTCAGTGACTTGTCCAGGATTATTTGGTAAATGGTTGAACTGAGACAACCTTCTAGATCCCATCGTTTTTCCCATGTTGCAATTCATTGAGTAATTACTACTTTTATCACATCGCCATTTAAAGTGTTTGCAGGCTGCATTTCTTAGAGAGTTTCACTCCTATAGTGAAGAACATTTTTCACTGGAGAGGTGATATAGATCTTTGAGGATTGGTTTTGATTAAAACCATCATTGGGGTTCTCGCCACTAAGAAAACGGTGATGGATTTCCTACTTATTTCTCAGTAACTGTTTTCCATACACCTGAACCATATTTTATGATCGTAGACAAATGAATAAGAGCGAATTCTGAACTAGTGAATAATTCATGTCAAGCACCGTACCCTACTGACAGCATTGCCAAAATGTAAAAATATATCGTTGGGCTTTTCCCTAGCTGTAAAGTTATGTGCCACCGGGTTCCAGTCAGTCTTCATGAGGATCTAAAATTCCACTGGAAAAAGGTTTATTCGCAGAATAGAAAGCTTTAGAGCTGGAATGCACTATGTTTATTTTGGGTTCTTTGAGTCTCTCCTGATAGTGACCTTTTAAAATTAAAATATACAGAAGAGGATTAACCCGGTAAACTAATTCATCGTAATAGATTATATTCCTTCCCTAAGAAATACCATGAAAGAGTAATGTCAGGAGAAAGGGCAAGTGACATTTCATGAAGGTTCTTAAAATAAGGAAAACAGGAGCTTGGGGAGATAAAGGTATTCCTGAAAGCAAGCTACGAATTCAGAGCTCTAGGGACCCGTCCTGCATATTGACCGTTGCCATTGCTGGCTGTCACATAGGATCTGACTGTGGAAGTCATCGGGGAAAAGCTGCAGTGCCACCATTAAAAGGACTCTTTACTCAAGAACCTGACCAATTTATAGTGCCTGGCACTCCTGGGCATTTAAAGGGGACTGAGGAGTTGGGACATAGGAGACACTTTTTTGAAGCGAACGTGTTTCTCAGCAGAGATGCCTGGTCGGTTCCTGACCCTTAGCCCGGTGCGGTGAGTCTCGGGAGTGGGAGCTGCAGAAGCTGCGGCTGTGATTGCAGTGATGCCTCTGTGTTCCTCCTCCTCTCGTCCCTTGCAATACTAGTTTCGTAAAACATGACTTGCCATAGTCAGAGCTGCTCAACTGGATGTACCAAGGGAACTGTGGTTAGCCTCTAACGTCTTGGAAAATTGCTGTATACACAAATAAACAAGCTTTCCTTTTCAATTCTCATTATCTCTTTATAGTTTCAGGATTCTTGTTTTCTGGTTTTCTGATCCTTGCCTGCTTCTCGTGGGAAGACTTCCTGGCTCAGCTACCCACAAACATCCATTACACTTTTTGTCATAATTCAGAGTATCTTCAGTTCGTTTGGAGCAGAGCAACCAGGACCGTCACGCTCCTGAAATGGGACTTAAAGACTATTGCTCCCTCTGCTAAATTGAGACAGATGGCCATCTGAAGTTTTCCTTGCCAGAGATTGCCTACTCAGAGAATATTTTATTTCCTCTATGGCTGTGTGAGAGTTTAATATCCTGTTTCTTACATATCACATCCTTTGTTACAATCGGTATCTGCAGAAATTTGGGCTGGGTTTTTTTGTTTGTTTTGGGGGGTTTGTTTGTTTGTTTGTTTGTTTAGTTACAGAGTGATTATTTATATAGCCCAAAGAAAATGGAGGCAGAAAGGAGCATGGTGTTTTTGAGCGTAAATGTCTATTTGTAGAGCTGTTCTGGCAGAAAGCTTTGTGAAAGTAGATTTGAAAATGAGTATGATGACAAGCAGAACTGTGCTTCTGCCCAATGACTGAGTCCAAATGAAACCAATGAAGAAAATCTAGGAATTTCTGATTCATTTGGCAATATCTTCTCATCCTTGTTTCTAGTTTCCTAATTTACCTCTTTCTGTGGCCTGGGTCTTTTCAGAATCAATCCTGGTCTCGAAGTTTCCATTTTGTGCTGTTGGCCAGGTGGTAGAGGATGTGATTCCTTGGCCTCGCTTGCTTGTAATTTACTAGTGACAGCAATGCCTTAGAACTGTAGGTGCCTTATGCCTCCTGCAACTCACTCATGCCCGTTTCCTAATGCTTTCTCATGATCTTACTTTTGGCCTTCCTGGCAACCTGATATTACCTTCGCTTTACAAATGAAACATCTGAGCAGAGAGTAGTTAAGTCACATCGCTAGTAAGTAGCAGAGTTAGGGTAATTGCAAGTAATTATGAGGCAAAATATATGGTTTTGTGATGCTTATGATTCTTTCCTTTCTAAAAACGCTGATCCTATGATTCATGGAAGGAGATAGCTGAGGGGTATAAAACTAACCAGAAAAGGCTGTGAGGAGGAAATGGTTTGTCTAGAGTGGATACAAAGAAGCGGCATTGCTGTGACATATTTATAATTATGGTAGACACTGCGAAAATGCCTCCCAAGTGGCTATCTCATAACGAACCCTCCTACCCAGTAGTGTGGAAGTATCTGTTCTTTAGAGCCTTTAAATGTTTGCTCAGCTTGTGGGTGAAGAATGACATCTTGTCTTATGGTCTCTGACCACAGGTGAAGCAGAGTGCCTTTTCACGAGTTTATTAGCCACTTGGATTTGCTCTTCTGGGCATTTCCTGGGAACATCCTGCACATTTTCTTTCTCCATTTTTTATCGGGTTGACTTTTTTTCCTATCAGTTTATGGTCATACTTTATATATTCTAGATAGCAGTCCTTTGTCAACTAAATATGTTGGGAATATGTTCTTCCAATGTATCATTTGTACTTACTTACATGATAAAAAAAAAGACAATAAGATTACCTGTCAAAAAGAAATAAGATGTTGGTTTAATGTAAATGTTACAAAAGAAAAGAAAAAAGTGGAATTTGAAATCGAAGTCATGAAGAATGTGAAGGGTTTAGAAAGGAATAGAAAAGCAGCATGAAAAATAAAAGGTATCACGGCCAGGTAAGAAAGTTCTGGTATATTCTAGAACTATTCAGAAGATAATACAAAGGGGGCAGAATTAGAGATGTCTCATTGGATTATAATGGGGATGGAACTGGATAAATAGGTGTTACTTAAAGTGAAGGGCCTGAAATGCCAAAGTGAGGAATTTGGAATTCGTCCTGTGAGATTTTTTTCAGTTGAAGCATGATATCCAATCAGTATTTTGAAAATATTAACCTGACTGCAGTGTGTAATGTGACTTGGGGACAGGATTTTAGGGGTATCCATTGGTGCTAATGCTGAAGTAAGTTGCAGAGGAGTAAATGAAAAGGAAGGGAATAATTAAAGAGATCTTTTAAAGCAGCTGCGAGGATGGAACACAGAAGTTAAAATTTGAGCGATGAATAGAAACTTAATCAATGGATGAGGAAATTAAGGTAGAGCATAGGCCTCGTTTATTTTAAAGTGAGAAGAGAAGCCAATGTAGAGAGAAAGAAAAGGCTGTTCCTCTCCACGTCAGGGTATTGGTTTTTCTTTACCGCCATTTGCTCTATGCCATTTCTCAGGCTGTTCCCCCGCTTTTGAGGATGGTAGAGCTTGCTGCCCGTTGCCTGTCCAGCGCAGCCCTGTATTCCGAGGCCCTGCCTGAGGGAAAGCACGAGGGTTCCTCGTGGAGACTGAGGAACCAAGGGAGAGCTCGCTGCCACAGGGAGGGGCGGCAAGACGGCTCTGAAGTTCCTTTCCTCACCGATTAAATGAGTCACGTATGAACGAATGCAGATGCAGCGGAGCCACGCCTTTAAAATGTTTAATTTCAAGTGGTGCTAATATTAACTTCTATATTTCAAGATTTAGTGTTCATCCTATAGTGGGCATATAATTAATTCTGCTCTGTTTGTGCTATTGTCTGATTGAACACCGATTCCCTCTTTTCTTCAAAATGTTTCTAATGACATTTTCCTTAAACGTAGTCATGGTACATAGACAATCAGATAGAAGAAATCAGCGGCTTAGAGCTATGCAGCAGCCTGACTCACCTCAGTCTGGCCAAAAACAAGATCACAGCGATTAATGGCTTAGGCGTGTTACCGATCAAAATCCTCTGCCTGGTGAGTCTAACAAAAAATGTTACTCTTTAGAAGAGTTAATCTGTTTGTAAACATACGAATTATAATTACTTAGGAATTTTTCATTTTGTAAAAAGAATTCCTTAATGAAATGTTATTGTCTTCAGTTTCATTTTCTCCTTTTCATATCCAGGGTGTGTGTGTGTGTGTGTGTGTGTGCGTGCGTGCGTGCATGTGTGTGTGTGCGTGCGTGAAAGAGAGAGGGGAGAGGGAGAAGGGACCGGGGAGGGAGAGGGGGAGGGATCAGTATTTCATGCCAAAGTGAAGCGATTTTCTAATTTGGTATCCAAATTCAACTTTTAAAAAATTGACTTTTTACACTGAGAAAGAAAGGTATGCTTTTAACAATTATTTAAAAATAGATTTTATAGTGTCTTATTGATGAAAGAGCATTTAAGCGTGGTATTTATTGCTGTTAACACTTTGGCTTTCAAATTAACCATAAGATGTTCTCTGGGCATTGAATTTTGCCAGTCCTTTTATATTAATATATACCAGTCTCCAATTCTGGCAAACCAGAATTAGTGCTAAGAAAAAATGAACAGTTCCAATCAGAGAGTTTAAACTTGTTTATTTTTTCCCATAGAGAGCACTCGTCTTAAGCTATGTGATGTGTTTTGTGACTATGACTCAAAGAAAATACAGATAATTTACCAAAAAATCAGCAGGATCATAATAGTCCCAAATACACAGTATTTCTGAAATAACAACAGAGCTCACTAATTTTGGGGGCTGATAATATAGTTTGTAGATTATCCAAGAATCTTTCTTCTTCCTTTCCTCCTCCCTCCTACTTAATTTTTTTTATTATTATTATTAGTTTCAAGTATACAGTACATTGGTTAGACATTTATATAGTTTATAAAATGATCCCCCTAATTGCTCTTCCCCTCCTACTTCTTAACTTCGGGTGGCTTTGCTGTTCTTTATTATATCTGTCACAAAGTGGGCAGAGAGGATTTTAAACCATGAGATGGTAGTGTATTAATTTTCTATGTGACCCATCCCACAGGAGAGTGTCGAACTGTTGTTTGAAATGACATCTTGGGTTGTCTGCAGAATTTCGACATTCAGTAGACTATTCCTGTCTTATTTAGCCACAAATAGCTGAAGGTTAGCTATATGTTCATTTTCTCCCCGCAGCTCGGAGTTCAAAGTGCTTTTCTAAGACCCCTCACCCCTCACAATGAGTCAGGCGGGGGTGAAGCGCTGGTTCCCAGCACCAAGGATGGCAGCGAGGCGTGGGAAGGTTCACTAATTTCCCTGCGGGGTCATGCTTTCTGCCCACTAAGGCACGTTTAGCAAAGCATAAATGAAAATGAGTTTGATAAGTTGGATTGCAGATTGAAAAATTACCAAAGAAAGTCACATTTTGCAATCATGACGATTCGAAGGCGTCTCGGCGGCACGCACTGCTCCATCCTCAGCTCGTTAGACCCTCTCCTTTTCCTTGCGTGTCTCTTCTGTGTCGGCCTCCCGTTAACCTGCAGTGGGGCGTGGTGTCTGGAAAGGGATGTGGGGGTGCGCTTAAGGGAACGAGAATCGAACTCATTGTTAAGAAAAACAACACATAGCACTTTCATCCTAAGAGTTTGTATCAATAACTAAATAAGTAATCCACGTTGACAGCTTTGTGTCTCGAGTAGCTTTTAGAAAAAAGCGTGAGATTTATTTCTTTTTCTACAAATAGATTGAGATTGTTCTCAGTCCCCACCCCTACTACTCAAGATGAACTAGAAAATACAGAATATGCCATCATTCATTTTCCTTAAAAATCTGAGAATAAGGTTTTCTCTTCCTTATGTTAATAAAATACATAAAGTGACACATTTGTGTCAGCAGTTTTTAATGGTTTTATTTTTTTTAATTTGTGGAATCAGAAGACTAATTGCCTTACTACTGAAAATCATTCCTTTTACGATTTATAGAAAAAAGAACAATTCACTGTCACGTGAATAGTTAATTGTCTATCATCACCTTTCATGATAAATGTAAGGGGAAAATGTGGTTCATTTATGGACTAGTGTGACGACCACCTCCCATAGCAAGTAAGAACAACGCAGTTCAGATTTTAAATTGTATTTTGTCTTAGTAAGAAGCATTTGCCATTTCCCTCCCAAACTGGGAGCTGAAGAATATTTCTCATTTTGCGTATTTAAGAAAACGACCTCTTTCTAAAGGCCACCTTTACCCTACTAATCATGACAAAGCAAGCAAGAACTGATCATGGATGCCCACTTAGAGGAGCGATGTATCAGTTTCTCTGAATTGGATAAAGGGTTTGACTAGATGGCTTTCAACTCGGAAATTCTGTGATTCTGAATATTTCTCTATTCTGCTTTCTTTTATGACCGTAGGGTATCTAATTAAACTTTTCTATGCCTCTCTCTACTCTTATGCATCTACCACTTTGCAAGCCATCAGAGACACTGTGAAGAATTATTACGGGCTATCTTCTACATCTACACACTTCAAAGTTCTTTGGGAAGAATATTGTATATAAATTTGATTTGTGGGCACATTTTAAATTGGATATTGAGGTCTTATTTCAATGAGTTAAATTAATGTGGATATTATGTTAAGTTTAGTGTCATTTTTTTCTTTTCTATTACACTTCCTAGAACTTTTTTGAACCTTGAACACTAGGAAATTTGACCTAACTTAGGCAAATTGGGTTATGAGTATTTTTTCCTTCTTCTTATGGAATTTTTCAAACATATAAAAAAAAGAAAATGGTTTAATGAGCCCCCATGTACTGTCACCCAACTTTATAGATTATCAACATTCTATTAATATATTTTAAAGAGCTATAAATTATATTAATGAATGCAACTCTTGCTCATTATTGAGGTGAAATCATATGAAAAATAGGATGAAAATGAGTTCTTGCCGTTAAATGTACCAGGAAAAATATTGTGGATGGAAGAGAATGCCATAATTTAATTTTTTAGTTTTTAAGTGCTTACTAAAAGTTTTGAAAGCTGAAAGATGAGCATAAGGTGAATTGAAACCTCAAATTTCTCTTTATTATGATTCTCGATTTAATCTAGAAGTTTAATTTAACTGTGGCATATTCTTATACCTCAAGGTTAGGGAAACGAAGGAACTATGAGTATGTTGTAAAATGTGCAAGAAAACAGAAATTACTGTTATCACCACAGTTTGTTGTGCGTATATAGGGTTGGAGAAGAGGACGACTTTTGAGTCTTGAAACTGAGTCTTGAAACTTTCCTATGTGTCAGTTATGGAAGAACTTTGTCTGGTTATCTATTGTCGCATAGCAAGCCATCCCAAGTGCAGTGGCGTAGAGAAATTTTATTAGCTAGCAGTTCCGCAATCTGAGCTGGATTCAACTGGGTGATTATTCCGCTGGTCTTGCCTCATTCAGTGGACAGATTGGCTGGGGCCAGGCTCAACTGGGATGCTGGAATGGCTGAGTTTTTCCTCTCTTTTTAGTCTCAGAGCCCCTCTCCACGTGATCTCTCCTTCTGCATGTGATCTCTCCACAAATGATCTCCAATAGAGTAGTAGAGTTCTCACACTTCAGCTCATGGCTCCAAGACTCAAGAGGAAAAGCTGCCATGCCTTCGTAATTCTTAGACTTGGAACTGGCACACTTTTGCCATATTCTTTTGATTGAAGCAAGTCATAGGTCCAACCTAGATTCATGAGGAGAGAACTGCACTAGAGCATGTGTCAGGCTCCCATAGCCCTCATATGAAATGTTTCTGAAACTAACAATATTCAAGTGGTTTACCGCGATGCTGGCAAAAGAACTGCATTAAATTTGATTTCTAAAGATAAACCTTAGGTTTTAGGTTATGCAATGTGAAAAGCTTAACCTACCTAGCTTTTGTCTGTCCTACTGATTTGAACATTTATCTTGCTTTAAGTTGAGTGAAAACATGTATATGTGTTCAGGAAAGTGAATGATGAAAATGGGGTGGGAGATGGTGGACAAGAATGGCTAACTGATTTTAAGAGATTCGGGGCAGTCTCCAGAACGAAAACTTATCATTACACTTTTTCCTACTAGAGGCCTTTAAGACACTGAGAATATTTTATCAATTTTAGAGCCATAACCAGATTGAGAAGATCACAGGTTTGGACCAACTACAAGCCCTGCAGATCCTGGATCTGTCCCACAATCAGATCATTAGCTTCCAAGGCTTAGAGAACCACGACTTCTTGGAAGTGATCAATCTGGAGGATAATAAGGTAATGTCATACTTTATACATCTGGGTCTCAGTGTCTACATTAAAAGGATATATTAGGACCCATTAGGGGCTTTTCAAGGGCTGTTGCATTAAATGCCGGCTTAGAAATGTCATTCTTCTAGAGCAATAGGTGAAGAAGGACTGTTCTTTTTTTTAATAAATACTTACAGTTTTTAATTTTGGAAAATTCGAAGGATCCTAATTACACTGTTGTAAAGATTTGAGCTGCAACAAAGTGCACATGACTTTCTGAAGTAAATGCGTTCCTGTGAAATTTTGTGTAGAAAGATAGCATTAGGAATGTCCGAAATGTCACAGCAGGGAAATGTAGACATGAGGATAACCTCAGGCCGGCTGCCCATGCCCACCTTTTAAAGAGAAGAGACACAGGAAGTGAATTCTGATGTCCCACTGGGAACAATAGTGTGTGTTTCTAGTCCGTATGAGTTGGGATTGGACTTTTTCAAATTTCTGTATCTGGCTCCATGCACATTACTTTACAGATCATGTAAATTGGCTTTCACTCTTAATTGCCCTTTATGTTTTAATAAAACATTTGTGCTCCTAATCGTGGTGTTTTAAGTTGGTACCCAGAGCCGACTTCTTATGCAATAAGATCTACTTTGCGATTTTATTCCTATTGAGTACTTTATCACAGTTTTGGAAAGGATTTCATAAGGACATCAATTGTTATTTCTTCTTGAAAATCAAATGTTCTGCTGACCCTGAAGGAGACATTGTTCTTAATGGGGGTGGAATGTGACACTGTGCAGACTTTTCCGTGTTCAGCAGTGACAGTGCTGATCAGCTGTGTCTGATGACTCTTGCTCCAGTGAACTTCCACCATCTGTCAGGTTTCGAAAAATCAAGAAAAGGCAGTCGTTAGATCTGGAGAGAAGTGGACATTTAATCACAGACAGAACTGTTCATCCTCATTCTCATTTGATTTGTATGTTAAATGGTCTTGTCAACTTTAAAGTTAAGTCTAATGGATGACTTTTGTTCACTGTGCTGTCTGTCTTATGGAGTCGGCGTAATCTCTCTCTCATGGTTTTAGTGTCTTTTTCATGAAATCACCATTGACACGATTCTCACATGTATACAAGGAGTGCTGGAAAAGTAAAATGCACTCATTAAATCCTAACTCAGTGCATCTCCAGATTCAGGAAAAGCAGTAATGGTAATACTAATACTAACAATCGTGATATTCATTTAATACTTATGCACAAGCCTCTGTACTAAGCACTTTACATATATCTCATTTAATCCTCATTATAACCCTATTATCACTGTTTACAGATGAGAAAACTGGGGCATAGAGAAGTTAAGTAACTGGCCCAAAGTTGGTTATTGAGCAGATAGCAGAGCCAGGGTTCAGAATGGTTTGCCTCCAGAGTCAGTATTCTTAACCCCAGAGAATAATACAGTAAATGAAACGCCAGTGGCCATCTCAGCAGAAAAAATGTATGATGTAATGCTGTAGAAGAGTGCTTTCTGATAAAAATACAGTGCAAACCATAAACGGGAGCCACATATGCAATTTTAAATTTTCTAGTAGCCACAATAAAAAGGTAAAACAGGTGAAATTAATTTTAGCAATGTTTTATTTAGCCCAGTACATCCAAAATATTATCATGTCAATGTGTAATCTACATTAAAAAAATTATTGATGAGATATTTTATATTCTGTTGCTTCGTACTAAGTTTTTGACATCTGGTGTGTATCTTATACTTACCATACATTTCGTTTCATCTTGGCCGTATTCCAAGTGCTAAGTAGCCACATGTGGCTAGTAAATACCGTATTGAACAGTGTTGGTCTAGAATGACTTAACGAATAATATATTGTTTTCTTCCATTTCAAAAGACTTTTCAAATTACATTTAAAAGTTTAAATGTAATTTGAAAAGTTTAAGGAAAAAAGGGATATCATTAAGTAAAGAAAGGAGTTGATAATTTTCAAATGTTAAAGAGACTCCATTAAAAAAAAAAGAAAAAGTGGCCACATGTCCCAAAGCAGGGGAGCCTTTGACAACAATCGGGTTTGTAACAATAACACAATTCCCTGGATCCCACTGGGCAGGTTGGGGAGCAACCAGCGGTCCTTTGAAATATTCTTTGAGCTACCCGAAGATTTCCTCAGAGATTTCTCCAGTGCTACTGAGAATGCTGTGTGTCAGGGATGGAAAATTTAGCATGTACAAGAAACATAACATAGCTGTTGCTTAACGTGACGTTAGGAACGTTTTATCGGTAGCACTTTCATCAGTATTATTTATTTGGTTTTCGCTGTTGAAACGTAGCCATATCTTCAGGTGATCACTTGAATATCTCTTTTAAGTTCCTTTGCAAATGTTTACTGTCAGCTGAGGATTTGGGGGCCTTTGTCACTCTCTACAGTTAGTCCCTGTTCGATGTCATTTCTGTCATTTAAAACTCATCCCAAAAACGTCAACTCTATTATAACCTCATTCCTGTCTCCTAGAAGCAGGATTGGTCTGGAAGTTACTTAGGGAATGCCATTCTACTTTTTTGGGACTTAGTGTCATTACTTCACAAATATGTCTGTCTATCTGTCTGTCTGTCTATGTAAAGGAAAAGCTTTAAAAGGCCCCTTTAGGTCTGGATGGTGAGGCTTGGAGAACATGGCCTAGAAAGAAATGGCAAGCAAAAAGGAGTCAGCTAGACTGCCCTCTCTACAAAGACAAAGCTGACAGGTTCCTCTGGAGGTTGGGGAGTAGCCAGCAGGGAGGGGCAGGGAAGGTTCTAGAAGACGAGCGGACTGGAATCTGGAGATCGGCTGTGCTGCTATGACATTCTTAGCAGCAGACTGCTGAAGTTCCTTTAAGAATATAACCTTTCTGGAAATATTTCACTTTCGGTCACTAGGGCTCTGTGTCCCTGCCTCTTCTGTAATCATCTGTGACACAGACAGCCTTGGCTCTTGGCATTTGAAGAGAGAAGACGAGAGAGTGGGTATGCTGTGGAGCAAGGTCTGCGGGAGAGGGCGAGCACATGTACCCTTCGGCAGACGCGGGAGCTTGAAGCCCAGCGACTCCATACCTGCTCCCCTCTGCCCTGCTCCGCCCCCCTCCGCCTCCCTCCACCCTCATTGGCCTCATCCTACTTGTGGAAGGACTGGGAGGCAGCTGCTCCATCTCATTTGGCTCTCAAAAGGCTAGTGATCCCAGCTGACAAATCAGTGGTCATATAATTCTGTGGAGTCCACGATCATTCTGTTCATGGTGTTTGTAACGTTTCGAGATCTTTCCTTGTCAATCAGCACCTTCTATATTGGGTGCATGGTGTTCCTGTTATGGGACTGTACCATAACTCATTTAATCACACAATGATAGAGTTTTTAGAAATTTATAATATTTTTAACATTTACTAAAAACCTTTGAGCATTCTTGTATCTAATTTTTGCCTGTCTGATGATCTCTTCAGTCTAAGCCTCCTGAAGTGGGGTAGTTGGTCTATAGCTTATGCACATATAACACATCCGATTCCTTTAGAAA